TTTGTTTAAAACACATCTAAAGGCTCCTGTATGACAATCTACACAAGTCTCATACTTTGTATGAAAAAAAATTCTTTACCTTCCCTGACTGAGCCAAATGCTCCTTCCTTTAGGACAGAGACAGTGTTGTCTATTCCAAAAACAGTAAGCAAGATTGGGTGTGACCAGATAACAATTGAGAAGTTACAGGCTTGCTAAGCAGCAGTTACAATGCTGATAGCCATAGCCCCCCAAACTTTTTTTTTTTTATCCCGCTGTAGTTCAAGCAGGCACAGCCTACATTAGAATGGCAACTATGCTCTAAGTTTGGGAGGTATGCAGCATTGTTGCCACACCATCACAGGAAGTTGCATTGGGTGGACTTTACTGGTAGGATCAACAGGTATTTCTCGGACTTTGTAGGGGGACCTGTGAGTGCAGATGCACCTATAATTAGTAGAACTTATACAGCGGGAGGCTATAGCTCTATACTAAGGAAAATGTGTACTTTAGGCTGTGAAGCCTATCCCTAGCATGCCTTCAAAGTCTTATTTTTACCTATTAAATAAAATATAGAACACACCAGGATTCCCAAAGTTCAGGGCAGAAATTACCAAATAAAGATAGTGACCCAGTTATAAATAATGCTGACTCACATAGATATATGTATGTGGTGTCCTCGGGACCCTAATCATAAATGGGAAAATAAAGAAAAAAGACCAGGGGGTAAAGGACCCAGAGGCCAAAAGGGGGTCCAAATGAGGAGGCTCCCGAGGACTTAGGCTAACTTTACACTTGGAAAAAATGATGATGCTGACACTAACACGAACCAATGTTCCTATAACGTTAACGTGCATTTTGGATGCTCTTAATGTTGGTTAAACAACGGAACCCTGATGCTTCCCAAGGGAAGGGTTTTTTTAACCTCACTGACATTTTATAAACTCTTGTCAAACACACTATAAACACGTAGTAAATGCACTGTAAATGCTACATGCACTTTTACTACATGGTAACATAGCCTTGAATGGAAGGAGAAGACAAGCTTTTCTAGGCATTCAAGGAGCAGCCAAAAAGCACCCTAAGGCCTCATTTACCCCTGGTTCACATCTGTGTGGGTGGTGCCGCTGCGGATCCGCACAAAAATCTGTGCATCTGCACCACCTGCACAGAGGAATGTGGACCCGCGGGTGGGTGCCATTAATTCTAATGGCACGCTGCCTGCAATGGAAATCGCAACCGTACTGGGAACCGAGGCTCCTGTGCGGGCTGCGTATTCTGAAGAAGTGCAGGGACTTCCCTGTGTGTCCCGGGGCACGGGAGTCCATTCAAATGACCCATTCAAAACGTGGCCCCCAGAAACGCAAAGATGTGAACCTAGCCTAAGACTTGCTTTGTTGTCAGCTGACAACAATTGACAAGCAGTGAGGAGGTGTTGTATTGCCTCCTCACCATCTGTTTGACCCCCTAATTACCAGACATATAGACGACAACCGTGCATTTTGTGTGCCATTGCGGAGTGTTTCCACCATGGCCTAATGCACTTGAATTGGTTGGTACTGCCTGCCAAGCGCAACAGGAGGTATAATTCCTGCCGTAAAGCAAGGCATCGCGGTCGTGGCACCCTTGCCTGCTGCCACAACAGGAACGGGGGAGCAGTTGTGGGGTAGTATAATGCGGCTCAACCGCGAGGTTTTACTGCACCACAACCACAAGTTCAACCCCTTTGCGCCGATGCCTGCCAGCTTTTTAAGAGCTTCTAGATGCCAGGAGGCGGGCATTCAGGTAATGTGACCACTGTGATTGGCTGTCACAGCGGTCACGTGATCAAAAAGCTCCTGATGGCAAGTATGCATTGGGAGCTTACCTATCCCACCTATCCCAGCTGGTTACCGTGCTGGGAGCGTGCAGGGAGCGTGCTCTCAGCATGGTAAGTTGTTTATACAGGGCTGTAAAGGCCCACCCACCGAGAGGCCGCATATATGCGTACAGCCGGCGCAAAGTGGTTAAACGAGCCCTAAATGCCTATTCCTAATGCCAGTGTGAACAAGGCCTAAATTTGTTGCATACTTGATTCTACTCAGCCTCTTTTTTAATATTCTCCCAGCCGAGCTCTGCTCTTCCCACCTAAGTAATACAGTTGTGACCAAAATTATTCAACCCCCAATGCTGTAAAGGGGTTTAGGGACTATAGTGTACATTTGGAATTGTATTCAGAATCAAATCCTACAAGGACGTTGTAACTACCCAAATGCAACTAAAATGACATCAATTGTTTATGTAATACAGTAGTAAATGGTTCTTATGTGGTTTCTTCATTGCCACAATTATTCAACCCCTTAAAGACTACCACTCTGAAGAACAGAGGTTCATACAGGTGCTTTCCATCAGGTATTGAAAACACCTGTGGATGTCACCGAGCAGCAATCAAGCATAATAAGCACCAATTAGGCAGCTTTAAAATGACTGTGATACTCAGCTCCTTCTAGACATTTACTGGTGTGGTTACAAACATGGTGAAGGCAAGAGAATGGTCCAGGAAGACAAGAGAAGAGGTGATTTCTCTTCACAGGAAGGGCAATGGCTATAAGAAGATTGCAAAGATGTTAAACATACCAAGAGACACCTTAGGAAGCATCATTCGCAAATTCAAGGCAAAGGGCACTGTTGAAACGCTACCTGGTCGTGGCAGAAAGAAGATGCTGACTTCGACTGCTGTGCGCTACCTGAAGCGTAGAGTGGAGAGAAGTCCCCGTGTGACTGCTGAGGAACTGAGAAAAGATTTGTCAGATGTGGGTACAGAAGTTTCAGCCCAGACAATTAGACGCACACTGCGTAATGAAGGCCTCCGTGCCAGAACTCCCAGGCGTACCCCCTTGCTGTCTCCAAAGAATAAGAAGAGTCGACTGCAGTATGCCAAAAGCCATGTGGACAAACCACAAAAGTTGTGGGATAGTGTTCTGTGGACTGATGAAACAAAATTAGAACTGTTTGGGCCCATGGATCAACGCTATGTTTGGAGGAGGAAGAACAAGGCCTATGATGAAAAGAACACCTTGCCTACTGTGAAGCATGGTGGAGGGTCAATCATGCTTTGGGGCTGTTTTGCTTCTGCAGGTACAGGGAAGCTTCAGCGTGTGCAAGGTACCATGAATTCTCTTCAGTACCAGGAGATATTGGATGGAAACGTGATGCAGTCCGTCACACACCTGAGGCTTGGGAGACGTTGGACCTTTCAACAGGACAATGATCCCAAGCATACCTCCAAGTCCACTAGAGCATGGTTGCAGAGGAAAGGCTGGAACATTTTGGAGTGGCCATCGCAGTCACCAGACTTAAATCCGATTGAGAACCTCTGGTGGGACTTAAAGAAAGCAGTTGCAGTGCGCAAGCCTAAGAATGTGACTGAACTGGAGGCCTTTGCCCATGAAGAATGGGCGAAGATACCCGTAGATCGCTGCAAGACACTTGTGTCAAGCTATGCTTCACGTTTTTAAAAGCTGTTATAACTGTAAAAGGATGCTGTACTAAGTACTAAGATTGAATGTCACTTGGGGGTTGAATAAAACTGATAATGCTGTGAGCACAGAAAAGACATTTGTGGTTATTTCATTATAACTGTTATGTTATATTTGTCTGACCTACAAGTGCCTCTTTAATGTAAATGTAAGCAAGATGACTGAATGATCAAAAGCAATGTCAAACTGGCCAAAACACTCAATTTCAGTGGGGGTTGAATAATTTTGGTCACAACTGTATGTAATTTCCCATTAATTCCTATGGAAAGACTGCAGTAACACAACAACAAAGCATCAGCAAATTGTCAGAGTAATAGTGAACATCCTTTTTTTCTAATTAAAGAAAAAAGAAACAATTTCTTTAAACAGTTATTTCCAGGCATATGTTAGAAGTAGTAGCAATAGAGGGGATTAAAAGGAGTTAGAGATCACTTTTATGTAAGAAATAGAGATAATTAAGGATAAAAAGAGAGAATGAGTATTTAGATTGTCCATAAGCAGCATGACAGCAAAGGATTGTCAATAGTTAGAGATATAGTGGAGCTTAATAACAAAAAAAAAAAGTCAGAGAAATGTACGCTTCACTTTGATGTACTAATGTCAACGCTTTCTTTAATATAAAGATTAGAGGGATGACCTCATTTTGTGTAGACTTCTTAGACAAAACCTCTTTGCAAGGCCTCATTAGGCATTACGTAGCCATCATCAGCTGCTATTGAATGTTGCAGTGTACACTGTGGTCATTGGCATCTGCAGAGTGCTGAATATACAGATTAGATGGTGAAAGGGCAAGTCATTCTGTCTCTGCAAGCATTGAAGAATCTTTAACTCTTTTGCTGTCAAAGCCATTTTTTGTCTTTTTGCACACGTGCTAAAATGCACATTTCTTTTCACGTGAAAATGCACTTAAAGGAGGAGTTTAGGAAGTAAACATTTATACTCAACAATCTGGCTGCAGCATCAATCCAATGCTGCAGCTGTCCCCCCGCTGCCTCTAAACCTGAGAATGGTGATCGTTCAGTTTATGGGATCGCTCGGAGCACAGAGCGGTGACTGGTAGTCACTGCTCTTTGTTCTGTCCCTCACTATAGATCCGGGCTGTGGAGGTGTTGGAAGCAGCTAATTTAGGCTCTCAGCAGGGCACTGAGAGGCTCAGCCAACTGCTGGCCAGGCATCTGGGTGGATCCCAACTGTGACAAACGCGGCGTCAAACCACTGCCACCTTCACTAGCTTGTGCTAAATGACTGGTCAAACTCACTAGCAATTGTCACTGGGTTTAGTTACCTAAGCAATTAACTCTGCCACCAGATAAGGTTCAGCCTGTTACCCGTTTACCCTTTAATATTAGCGATAGCAATTATGACTTAGTCTTCATGCACACTGGGCGTTTTAAAAACACCAGTAGCGTTAGCTGCAGAAAGTCACGTTAAAAACGCAAGCTTTCTCACATTTTTTAGCGTTTTTGAATTAGCATTTAGCTGCATTTTTCTGCGTTTTTTTAACCACCTCCCACCCGTCATATAGTAAAATGACAGACGCAAGGCGGTTCTCTCGTTCTGGGAGGACATCATATGATGTCCTCCCATTCTAACCGCGCATGCGTGGCTTCCGGAGCGCGCAGCACGGCGATGGACACAGCGGATCACCGATCAACGGAAAGAGCCGAAGATGTCGGCTCGGTCATGTGAACAGCTGTGTCCAAACACAGCTGATCACATGTAAACAGGGAAATGCTGGTTATCACGCTGACAGCTTGTGAGGAGAGGAGAGCCGGTAATCGGCATTCCTCGGAGGGGACATGTACACAGATCATCAGAGCACTGATGATCAGTGTGCCCTGTTGATCTGTGTAGCCCCAGCAGTGCCACCTGTCAGTGTCCATCAGTGCCAGCTCTCAGTGCTCATCCATGCCACCTGCCAGTGCCCATCAGTGCCACATTTCAGTGCCCATCAGTGCCACATCAATGCCACTTATCAGTGCCCATCTGAACTGCCTTTCAGTGTCACCCATCAGTGCTAGTCAGTGCCACCTATCAGTGCCAGTCAGTGCCGCCTATCAGTGCCGCCTATCAGTGTGCATCAATGCCGCCTATCAGTGTGCATCAATGCCGCCTATCAGTGTGCATCAATGCCGCCCTATCAGTGTGCATCAATGCCGCCTATCAGTGCCCGTCAGTGCTGCCTATCAGTGCCACCTAACAGTGCCAGTCAGTGCTGCCTATCAGTGCCAGTCAGTGCCGCCTATCAGTGCCGCCTATCAGTGCCATATATGAGTGCTGTCTTTCAGTGCCTATCAGTGATGCCTGTCAGTGCCACCTACCAGTGCCTCCTCATCAGTGCCCATCAGTGCCACCTATCAGTTCCCATCAGTGCAGCCTCATTAGTGCACATCAGTGAAGGAGAAAAATCACTTATTTACAAAATTTTATAACAAAAACTAAGAAAAAACTTTTTTTTCAAAATTTTCAGTGGTTTTTAGTTTGTTTAAGATAAAATAAAAAACCCAGAGGTGATTAAATACCACCAAAATAAAGCTCTATCTGTCACAAAAAAATGATAGAAATTTCAAATGGGTACAGTGTTGCATGACCGCGCAATTGTCATTCAAAGTGCAACAGCGCTGAAAGCTGGAAATTGGCCTGGGCAGGAAGGGGGTATAAGTGCCCTGTAGGCAAGTGGTTAAACATTTTGGATCAAAAAAGGCCCCAAAAGGCCGGTTTGCCGTGTTTTACTGCATTATGCATTGTTTACCAGCGTTAGGCTTCACGTACATGAGCCTGCTCTGAACGCTGGAAAATACAACCGGTACCGAGGTGGCCGCGTTTTTACCGCACTTTGTGTTTTCTCGTGGTTGGTGGTCAAAACGTTCGTAACCTGCACGCGTTCAGGAGAAGGAGGTTTAACCTCACCTAAACGCGGCAGCTCTTAAACTCTGCTAAAGGCCTATGTGTACATGGACACATAGGCTTTTATGGAGTTGAGTTTAGGAGCTTTGGCAAAAAAATGCCATAAGCTCCTAAACTCGAGTTTAGCAGATGCTCGTGTATATGAGGACTTACCCTAGGTTCACACCTAAGCGTTTTCTGCAGCATTTTGCAGAAATGCAGTACAGTCCATTTAACATGATTTCCTATGGGACATGTTCACATCTCTGTGTTGTCACCCGGTGCGTTTTTTGGAAAGGGTCGGGGACTTTTTTAAATGCAAAACGTTGCGTTTTTGGTTCTATAGACTTCAATGGAAATGCTGCAGAAACGCATATAGTGATGTGTTTTGCCCTTTAAATGCCTAGCAACAAAAAAAAAAAAGAAAAAATGCAAACACCTAAAAAACGCAGGCGCAGAGACGCATCGCAAAACGCAATGCAGAAACGGCTCAAACGCAACCTGCATAGGTGTGAACCTAGCCTTAGAGCATTTTTACAGCTAAAAAACTCCTCTAGAAACCCGCTAGTTCTGGGGGGGGTTTCCAGCCAAAAAACGCCCCTGCCAAAAAAAACACTGATTAAAGCCTGTGTGCATGGACACATTCTGAGTCACAGGAGTACAAAACTAGGTGCACTCCTGTGACCCACATGAGAAGTTACTACCACAGTTACTTCCTAGATTGTAAGCTCCGAGGAACAGGGCCCTATTCCTGTTGTATTGAACTGTATTGTTGCTGTATTGTCTCCCATTATATTGTAAAGCGCTGAGCAAACTGTTGGCGCTATATAAATCCTGTATAATAATAATAATATTAATAATAAGTATAACCAAATAAGATTTGGCCATGCTTCTCTTTCAAAAACCAAAGACATTAAATATTTTTGAAAGCAGAAGACCCATAGAATTAACATGGTGGTTGCATGTTTTACGTTGCACACAGGGGCGGACTGACCATTTGGAAACTCGGGCACTGCCCGAGGGCCCTGGGTCAGTAGGGGGCCCCATGAGATGTCCCTGGTACCTTTATCATAGGCTTTTTTGAGTTTGGGCAAGGACACAGGGGCCCCATGATCCCCTATTGCCCAGCGGCCCCATGAGTTGTCAGTCCGCCCCTGGTTGCACAATATTAGTACAATTGTAAATCAAATCTATATTTTTAATAAAAATACATTAAATTTGTTTTCTTGAGGACACAAACACAATACAACCCTCTTTTCTTTAAATGACAGAAGAGACTAAGTTGATTAAAGAAACACTATAAATAAATATCATATTTTATGTACTTTTGTGAGTGTGCGCCATATACTGTAGTTGTTCATTCGTGTATATGGGGTATGGGGGGGCTTTAAAACTTTTTAAACATTTTTTTAAATTTTTATTTCCACTAAACGTTATGCCAATAGCATACAGTATGTGGAGTGACAAGGTGACAAGAATTCTTTACAGAGGCATCAGGTGTCTCTTGAACTCCCCCCAACTTGACTGAGTACAGACTGTGCTCAATCAGCTTTTTCCCCAGGCCTCAGGGACTGACAGCTCTGAACCCCACAGCTATTTCTGGGTTCACTGGGTGCCACTATGGGATGTTTCTAGCTGTTATATTGACCCTCTAGCTTGAGGAGAGGTCAGCAATAAAAAACCTCCATGTTCCACAAGTCTGTTGTGAGGAACATTTCAATTCTTTGTACAATGTTACACAGCTGCAGTTAAAGGTGACCCACATAAGAAGTATAACCAAATAAGATTTGGCCATGCTTCTCTTTCAAAAACTCAAGACATTAAATATTTTTGAAAGCAGAAGAGCCATAGAATTAACATTAGATGCCTTCCACACAGGTGGTCCATCTGTCTGTTATTTGACATGCGATCACATGGGTACAGCAATACATTTCTATAGGTGGAAACAGGCACACCAAGTTGGGGCAGGCACCACATGCAGAGGCACACTGAGACCTGATTGTCCATACAAACACTCCGTCCTCAAAGCAGTTAAGCTTCCTTCCTACCACAGCAGTCATTATGTAGACCACACAGTGGCTGAGGACTTTTAAAGCTGGGTGGACGGAGCCTGTTGGGGATTCAGAGACACTAGTTCCCTACCAGGTTCTCTCTACTTGTGATTGACAGAGGTCATTGTCCTTCCACTGCCAACATCACTGGCTACACAGCATACAGAGACAGGCACGCTGCCTGTCTCAGTACACCAACTTACAGCTGTAGCTAATTACCCCCAATTTCTTTATCTATGAACTGGAGGTAGTTATTTTTTTAATGTAGTGCAGTAATAGTGCAACTTTGTAAATGTTACACTATTAAGAACTACATGAATGTGCTGCATTCATTGGTAAAACTACTGAAACTGGCATTTTGAATCTGGTGCAGGACCATTTAAAGGGTTTAGAAACTGCCTTGAGAGCAAAGATACAAATGTGCATTCCCACACACTAGACAACTGAGTTACTGGGATATTTCCAGTTATCAGAATAAGATACTGTACCTAAGACAAGCAGCTCTCATTGCATTACTAACACTTTATTAAAGTGGTTGTAAACCTAAGACATGAAATCTGAACAAAGCATGTCCCCAGGGCTGCTGTTAGAAACCATGGGGCCCCATACAGCCAACCCCCCCAGTTTACTATGCTTCAGTTATGGATGAACACAGCGAGTCATTGGTACGATCACTCATTGCGTTCATTTTGGAAAGGAAGGGGCAGGTAAATGTGACTTATTTACCGGACCCTTCCCCCACTCTCCATCCTGAAGTATCCCATTGTGTGCTTGCAGCTGCCAATAGTAAGGAAAGGAGGGAAGCCAGCAGCACTGAGGGTGGGCCTGGGCAGCAGGGGGAAATGTAGGGTACACTGGGAGGGTAATGGTGCGGTGTGTGTGTGTGGGGTGGAATTACTGGAATCAATCCCCTGTATGGCTCTTTCAAAGCAGCTGAAAGCCAGGAGGGAGAGGAGGAGAAGCCAGTTTTCAGCTGCTGCAGAGGGAGCCATACAGGGGATTGGTTCCTGTAATCCTCCCCCGCCCCCTCCACTGTGCTGATCACTCTACCTGTCCACATCATATTCATCCAGCTGCCTGGCCCCCCCTGCTGGCCTGGGCCCCATACAGGAGGACTGGTGGTACCACCTTATCCATGGCCCTGCATATCCCTCTATAACAAGTACTTGTCTCAATTAAGAGCACTAAGTGCAATTTCTGTCTGCTGCTTTGTTTCTCTGCTATCAGCCTGAATCACTTCTGATGAGTTTTCCTGACGCCAAGAGAAAAATGGTGATGGGGAGGGAGCTCCAGCAGTGTGACAGCCTCAGCTCTGTTCCTGTGAGCTGTGTGGAGGGGGATGTGTCCCTTATCCAATCAGCTCCTATAGATTTCCTCACTGAGCTCTGCAGAGTGTAGTTTCAGCTCTTTGTCCCCTGTTTCTGAAAGTTCAGACAAGCTTTATAATTTCAGCACTTTGAACAGATATAGAGAAGAGAAGCTTGCAGATAGGCAGGTACAACTTATGTAGGAGGATTTGTTTCACCTCTGTGTATCGCTTGAAGCCAGTCACTTCACTTGGTTTATATAAGGATTTACAACTACTTCAAAGTATATTTAAAGAGCTCCTTAAAGCAGAAATATGTTTTTTTTAATTATACACACCTAGGTGGGATGCAGCATCGATCTCATGCTGCATTTGTCCACCGTTGCTCCTAAGACTAAGACTGAGTGAAGAAAGACTGCTGATCGCTCAGTTCTCCATCTCTAATGAGAAGAGGGCCGATAATTGTCAGTCACCTGCTCTCTGCTGTGCCCTTCCAGAGCTCATTGCCGGGTGCCCATTGCGCATGTGCGATTTGCGATGCTCCTCCTGAATGGTCCAGCAGTCTTCTGGGACCTGTGAAGTGTCCCAGAAGACTGCGGGAGAAAGGAAGGGGGTCGAACTTCCGGATCAGTTTGCTACAGTGAACTGAATCAGAAGTGGGAGCGGGTACCTGTCAAAACGAGATACCCTCTCCCCCCAAAAAAAATTGCATGCCAAATGTGGCAGAAGAGGTGGGGAGGAGTACTTAAAGTGTTACTAAACCCAGGACCCTGCATTTACTATATCTGGTCTCTCACAGTACACAGAACATGGAAGTGCAATTATTTTAGTAAATATAAACTGCTAAATACCTTTTTTCATCAGCAGTTAGAGCAGTCTTGTGACTTCTATCAGTGTCCAGCTGAGCCTTGGTTAAAGCTTGTCGGAGGAGTTTTCATTCTGCTCTGACTGTCCTATGAGGC